CGTGATGTAATGTTTCTAAAAAAATTGCATTTTTCCACTAGTTCTATGCTTCTGTCTTTTTCTACCAACTTTCATTCTCTTATTGAAACAAATTACATTGAACATCAGATACAAGTTTTTTCTCCCTCTCTCTACAGCGGATAGTACCTTGAAGAAAGAAAGAACGTTTAAAATAATTTCCAATTGCAGAACTTTTAAATGAAATTTCAGATGGTTTAAATTCACATCGCTACTATTCATTATCAGATACGACAGTAAAAGCGATACTTTGAATAACTTTCTTTAATATAATGACAAACAAACATTTGCGACATTGCAAACAATCTTATTATACCTTCAGAGTCTGTTATAAAAATGGTGGGGGATGCTGAGGTATTCTAAGAAAGATAATTCGCATTTGAGCCAGGATCTATCGTTTCAAGGTCAACAGAATGTAAATTTTGATGGACGTATTTCTGAATATTTCTTCCTTAGCATATTGCCGAATACATACGAGCATCTGAATTAGCAGATACGTATCAGCTAGATACATATCTGAACCGAAATTGCAGGGCAGACTCGTTTGTATGCATTTCAGAAAAGTAAAAGAAGTTTTAAATTCAATATGAAGGGCATAACCATGTTTTGGGGACTAACGCTCACATAGACGTACATAAAATATCCACAAATTAGCTACTAGTGATCAAACATGTAAAAATACGATGGTCTCTTATATCAGGCATTACATTAGTAAATATATATGAAGAAATAAGATAATTTAATTTCTTATACTCATACAATATTCCTACTAACAATACAAAGTATAAGAATGGCGCTCTACTTAGTGCCAAAAAAAAATAACCGTTCACTATATACGTCTGTACTAATATACCGGATGCACAGTTAGGTCTTTATCACTAAATTTATATTTCAAAATTATCATGACTTTTAATGTGGAAAAATTGTACCGTAGTCGTTTATTCTGATGATTTCTGTGGAAATCATAATAAATTCCAATCTCAGTCGTAAAAATCGCCAGGATTACATGTCACAAGATGATCGTGTTTCGTAGCAACACCTCTAATACCTGCGAGGTAGTAAAAACTTTGCAGTAGCAAGGGAGCAAGGAGTCAAAGAAGGCGCGGAGACTATATTTATGGAGCGGCAGTTTGTGGCCGGATTATTGCTGCATCCTCGTATTTCGGCGGCCGGCAAGTGCCCACCTCTATCTGAGAAGGAAAAATTACTTTGAGTAGAATCATATCAGCTTTTTTATTTGGTAACATCCATAAGCAGGTAATTTGAACATTTTAATGTCAAGTACCATGCTCAATAAAAGTTTGATAAAAACTAAAGTGACTAGACAATTAAGGTTATCCTACAATTCATGTTTCACTTTTTCTTATCCTGGAGTCAAGCGTGTATAAAATGAACAGTGAAAAACTAGTTTTCAATGTTGATTAACCTGTTGCGAATTGGATACGCATTTGATACTTCGTAGTTATTTTCATTTAACGTTCGGGAAATGGAAAATAAGGTTTATTACGTGTCAGTAGAATAAAGGAGACGAAGGACAAAGAATGTGCATGCACAAGAGACTACTTAACTATAGGTTTTCGGTTGATTTCTGGTTGTAAAGGAAGTAATTCACGTGGCGTTTCGTTAGAAACTGTTCGTTTAAATGGGCATAACTTTTAGGTATCGCAATTTGCGGACCACCACCTTCGCAAAATAGAGAAATAGAAGTAAATATAAAATGATCACTTTTAGTTCTCCGTCTCGATATCCACAGTCTGTTGATTCACTGTTCCCAATTTGAATGTAAAAACCATCCCAAAAACATCATGCAGAACCGTACGTCTTTTCGTTGGGGGGGGGGGGAGACGACATCACTCGTTTGTCTGCGATCACGCATGCCTTAGTCCCCGATTTCGCCAGTCACGATGGCCGACCGCGGTATGCGTGACTGCAACAACTCATGTCAAACCTGAGGCTGCACCTGAGACAACTGAATTGCTTTCTGAATTGAACCCACACTCTGATTTCACTGCAAGACATGCCGACCACGAGTCGATCGTCATTTTTGACTAGGACGGGTAGTTTTAGTGCGTCGCTTGAGGTAATTGAACAAGTCTACCCCATTACCTATTTCTTTAAAGTGTAATACATTTTAGTCGATTTGCAGCATTCAAGACGGCAACAAAGCGCTCACGGTAGCTGTAGGGCGTTAATTAAATATAGAAAGGTAGAATAGTGCAATATAAAATTTAGTTATAATGCTACAACGAAGAAAAGGAACATAAAACGAGAAACACAAAGGAAAACGAGGAATTCCAACTTACTTCAGCAATTACATTATGATTGTTTCGAACCCTGTTTTAAGATATTTTTGAGTAAGCGAAATTTATATAAATGCGATTTAACATTTACTTATAGTCAATGTAAAATATGTTTCGATTTATTCAATAAATACACTTTTGATTGAAACAATCGTCTGTAAACGACATGTCTCCTAAAATAATTGAAATGCTACATGTGGAAGGTATTTTATAAGTATTACTAGTAGGAAGGGTTTTTAAAATTAATGTGTGATGTGATACATTATTAGGTGATTAATAAATACCTTTTACTTCAATTTGAGATTATTGTCATTTATTTCATTTGTCATTCACCAAATAAACATCTAAAAGAAAATAACATATTTCTCCATAATTGCATATTTTCTTTAGTATAAATATTTCTTTCTAGAAGAAATTTATTCATATTAATTTGATGTTTCAAATGATTTAAAATTATGTCTTTAAATACAAAATGATTTATCAAACTGCCATTCGAGAATAGAATTCAAAGTTAAACATTTAACTTACGTTCCTTAGAAATATCGGTTCCACAATTAAACTATTATAATTGTCTTGGCGCGCAAAGGAAAACGATGAAATCAGATTTTACATTCTGTGAGATGTGCGTTCGGTGAAACAAATAGTAGCAAAAACAGCAAATGGGTAGAGCATTGATTTCTGGATCAAAGAGAACACACATCAATTAATGTTTAACATCGTAGAAGCAAGGTTCAAAGCCGACCAAGTAATGTTTATGTTCCTTTATGAGGATATAAAGGCTGTCGGCACTTGACCTAATAGCGCGTTCGATAAAACGCGAATAGATCAAAGCCGTACCATAAAAGAGTCATTACAGTCTTATCTGTTCCTGCTGGAAGCCGCCGGAAATGGCCAGGTCAACACGCAAACCTATCTTTACGAAGTCTTTAAGTCTTAATTTCGCTTCTAATTTGCAAGGACACGTTCTAATGTAGGACGACATTTAAAATATTTCTACTGCAATATTTTTTCTTCCAAGTCCATATCACTATTTTAATTTTTTAAATTTGTACAAAAGTTGAGAGTTAATTGAGGAATCGAAACTAAAAAAATATTGTAGGATATACATAAAATAATAATCATGAGGCAGACGCTTTGGAGTGATCATTAGTAAGAAAAGTAGCACACGTTTTCAATGGATCGCAATATGGCTATTATTTTGCTTTGTTGGAATCGATAAATTGATAAACACCACTTTAAAAGATGGATTACTTAATAGCAAATCATCATGTAGCGATGTCCAAGTCCTGTAAGTCACAAATCCATTAACAGCTGATCTTTCAAATCGTCCACCACGTGATACGTGTATTGGATTGTCAGTTTAAGAATAAAACCCGTACGATCCAAGTTGAAAATAGTTTCATTAAAAATGTGATAAAGTGCGAATTATGTGCTGAGGGCTGATTAAAATGTCTAATCACTATTGGGATATTCCATGTATAAAAATAATAGACTGACATCAACCGAGATCCAAATCTACTGAAGCTAGAAATGCGAAATTTGAGAAAGAGAGAGGTTCCTAATATGCCAACTGTAATAGCAATGAGATTCACATATCACATGAAGGGGTGAAATAGGGGATCATGGAACGAAAATACAAGTATTTAAGTATGCAACCCGCGAAGCGCCTAGACATTGCCGGGCGAGGCGGGCTGGCATAGTCGTGGCGGAGCCGGCAGGAGCAAGAGTGTGCAGCCTCTGCGATGGTAGGTCGGAGAGAGGTGGGGTGTATCGGAGAGTATTGCAGTGAAAAAGGATTGAATTGAATTGAATTGAATTGAATTTGCTTTATTTTCCTGACGCGGCGAGACTCGAGCCATCAGGCCCGCTCTTCCGTCTGACCACGCAAATTTCGCTACGCTCCTTTCATCCACTAGCAGAGAAAGGAGGTATTTCTTGGGCGAGAAACAGGCGATTTGAATTTAGCTCAGAGGCGGCATTTAGGCTTGAGGATCTTTTACATGCAAGTAAATATACTAACATGGGACAGCCGGCTTTACTTCCCCAAAAAGGATGGGGAGGGAATTCTAATTACGTCCACTCAATCATTCATTTTCTAAAAGATTATTGTAATAATCACCCGGGCAGAGGGCTTACTTAGTCACTATTACGATGGACGTTATATCAAGTGCCTAATTTTTCACTTTACTACTCGCAAGGGAGGAATGTCGAAACCGCTCATCTCAGGTGGATCCTTGTAGATGCGAATAGGCTGCGTAGCGGTTTAACCCTGTCTTTGCATCATCAGTCGGAATATCACCCACAGGCCATCACCAGTCGCCTCACCACCGGCTGAATACTCCGTCAAGCTGCAACCCCCGCTTGTTCGAAATTCAAAATCAAGTAACCTATAATTTTGTACTAATTATGTACTAATTTTGTACCACAATAAAAAAATTGTACTCAACTGTAAATAATAAAATAACACATCCAAAAGTGGGGGTGTCCACTTCACGTCAAGCTAGGACTCCCACATTTGGGTGTGATTTTTATTGTTTATAGTTGAGGACAATTTTTTTTTATTTTGGTACAAAATTACTACATAATTAGTACAAAATTATAGGTTAGTTGATTTTGAATTTCGAAGAAGCGAGGGTTGCAGCTTGACAGAGGTCCGGCTGAAAGCGCGCGCGCGCACTCACGTCGACATCCGGCGGCGGAGAAGCCGAAGTGCCTGGGTAGGCAGGTGTCGCAGCGCGCGCCGTCCACGCCGGGCCGGCAGCGGCACTGGCCCGTGCGCTGGTCGCAGTCGGGGCCGTAGGCGCCGAGCGGGTCGCAGGCGCAGGGCTCGCAGCGGCCGCGCCCGGCCGCCAGCCCCCAGTGGCCCGCGCGGCAGCGGTCGCACGCGCGGCCCTCCACGCCCGCGCGGCAGCGGCACTGGCCCGTCACGATGTCGCACGTCGCCTCCTCCGAGCCCGCCGCGTGGCACCCGCACCCTGCAACACGCACGCACGCACACACACACGCAATCAGCATCGTTGGAGCAACACGTCAGGACAACGCACGAAAAGTCAGCATGGTCTTTTTATAATGAAATGCAGGTACAAAGTTCTTGCACGAACACAAAACAGAAACTAAATTATATGCTAATACTGTACCGTCAGAGCTATGATTACCAGAGACATACATCGGTGGATCAAAAATTCAGGACAGTATGCAAAATGTCACGACACTTTTTTATGGTATTCATGTCACAGGTTTTGTACAACTACAGAAAAGAGATATACATTTATATTGCACCGTCATAGTTTGAGTTACCAGACATCTAGATTGTTCGATCACAAAATCAGAACATAACAAATTGATGGATTGATTAGTGATATCAGGTGCATTGACTGGTGAAGTTATTAGTCACGTAAGTATTGGTATGTTTTATCGCGGGAGGAGGCGTCTGTCCTCTTTGGATGGCGAATCTGGCCGAATTACAAGTCTGCTTACAGGGTTTCTCCTAACCAGGTATCTGACACCAGCAAGGTTATTCCCCAGCCGGGCAAGATTAAAGCTCCCGGCTGGTCTGTCGAGATGTGTGGTAATGAGTATATAAAGTGTAATTGGGTGGAAGGAAGTGGTTAGGATAGGTCAAGGAAGAAGAAAGAAAGATCGCGCACGGTCCGCGGCTAATTAGGGTACTTTTCCGGAATTCGCGTGATGTTGATCTGAGAACCCACAGAAAACTATCGATCTGAGCAGCCGGCAGCTCATCTCCAGATAGCTGCTGAATACGACCAAGCTAAGAAGATAGTGTCAACAATCCTACCACAGTCGGGTCTCAAACCTTAGGACCTCCCGGGAGGAGACACTACAGCGTCACCAATGAATGCCCTGAGTCACCATTTCACAAAATGCTGTACTTTTTTATAATGACAAAAAGGTAAAAAATCTTGTTCTACTGCAGAAGAGATCCATTAAATGGTAATAAGGCACTTCATGTTAAATAACATGACTACGACAGCTTTATTATTAAAGTTCTTCCTATCTCTTTTTCAATATTCCCCGAACAAATATAGAAATAACACATACTTATTGCTCTTATAGTTAGAAACTCAGAGAAAGAAGTGATATTAGGACTCAAACTCAAACTCAATTTAATTTTTGAATATTTCATATTAAAGAAACATTGAAATTAAATTAAATAGTAAATAGATGATATATATGATATCAGGACGTTTAAAAACAATTTCAGGACAAATAGGACAGAGTCCAAAAATCAGGACATGTCCACATAAAACAAGGACATCTGATAATTCTAGCCATAGACCTTCGTCAACCTTTGCTCCATTACGACAAATCGATTAACAGCAGTTCGACATTACGACAATCGTTCAGCTTTACGACAAAGCAAGAAACATGCGTTTATTTCCTGCGTGACGTAATGAGACATTAAACTATAAATCACAATTTTCATAGCATAAGAATACGAATGTGCTTCTGTTTAGCTTTTCTAGGCATTGTATTATGTTCAGCAACGTTTGTAGGTATTGAAAATGCATCAAATCATTTTTAACCTACATCCACCCCTACCAACCTTCGGAAGCAGTTGAGCAGTCGTTTTCAATAACCCTCCTCTCGGGGAGGATATTAGTCTTGTTTGGGCGGTAAGTCACAATTATCGCCATCACATTCAACCACAATCACAATGTTGCTTTAAATACTATGTTTTGACTCCTATATCAACATCTTTTGGTTTGTCGTTAGGATACAGCAGATGAGATAAGTAACATAATTTTCTTTCATGCAAAAAATTACGGGGGCGAAGGAAGATATTTTTCAAGTTCGGAAAGAGAGCTATAAAAGCTCGTCTACATTCAAAGGCAGATAATTTTAAAATAAAAATTAAAAAACCGTAAATATTTTATCTTTTTTTCCCTTTTCCATCAACAATAAGAAGTACTTTTTACTTCTTCGTATACGTACGTATATACGGAGTAATATATGTAGTATAGAGAAAGTTATGTATATGTTTATTAACAGCTTAATATTATTTAGTCTCAAAAGTCTCTTTTTCCTTCAACAAAAACCTTTAATTACTCTTGCTCTGTTCCTCATCCTTATGATAAATATAATATTTTCTTCACAGAAAACATTGAACGTTACATATAAACATTATTTGGTGTAAATACAATTATAAGCATGAAGTTCACTGACATTGATCTGAACATGTATCGAAGGTTGTGTGAACGAAGAAGTGTTATTCGTTGTCTTGAAATGTTTACAACATCTAAGCAATATATTTTATTTTGAAATGTGTTACATTTCACTAAATCATTGGGAAAATTTGTGACAATTTACCTCACTTTAATGAAAAGATTTTTAACATTATTGCTGCAAAACATATTAATTTAGTGCTCTACATCACACCACTCTTAGCCAAAGGGTTCGTGTGTATTTCCACTTAGCTTTCCTACCAGGTGACAAAAGTCCACCGACGTCTGCAGGTAATAGAAATGCATGATATCATTTTTAACCCATCATCCCATCGGGTAATATTTCAGACGACTATTTAATTGAACTCATCTTGTAGTATTTCCTTGTGCTGTGATGTCAGTTCGTATATGGTTTGTGGGTTGCATTCGCTATGTTGATTTTAAATAAGTACATCATTTGTACTAAATATCTTTAATTTAATGGAAAATTGATATTTTAAACAAATAATACGATTCATGAGATTTGAAGATTGTGTAATAGTGACTTTGAACAAAGATTCTTAAAGTTGAATGGGATATCTACAGGTTTATTAATAAATGGAGACATTTAGTAAATCACGTTTTACTGAATCAAAATGAACTGAACTCAAAATAGACAAACCAAAAAAGAAATGAAATTTACGGGGCATAATTCGATGTAATTTCAGAATGAACTTTTTTGATATACTTTTTTAACCTGTACATGCAATTTGAAGTTCTTGCGATTTCTACTTTGGTACTTGCGAAGAGTCATCGTGTACCATCGTCTACCACTCCTTCGGTTTAAGGAAGAGACAGCGTAAAAACACCACTTTCGCGTCATTTCCTGAAGTACTACGAAATACAAACGTATCATACGTCAGCTGTAGAATCTGCAGTTGCTATCTCATAAGCACCACTTCTCCAGAAAGTATGTCAGTCGATTACGGAAATGACATTTTAAATTTCCAGACATTGAAGCAATATTTTGTCTAGATTAGTGAGCAGTTGCCAATTTAGACAAGCATCTTTTAAATGTATAGATGTTCATCGTTTACGGGATGAAAAAAATGTACATTTGAAAAACACAATTATTTATGGAGAATTAAATGAAAAGCGGAGGAAAATTCATATTGGTTCAAATAAGGGATTTACATATATAATGTAATAATATAATACAGAAACATCGCAAAGAGAATGGTTTAGTTAACTAGTGAGGTTTAAACATTCTGGGGCCATTTTGAGAGTAATAACAAAATCAGATGTTGACGTACAAACTAAAGGACGTCAAGAGGAACAAAACTTTACCTCACCATACGACATTCCCACGACACGGGAGCATACAAACTCAAAACATAGCACAGGAACACGATTTCAGAAAAGGCGATTTCACATTTCAGTGTGACTCCCGCACTCTCCCATCCGTAACGCGCCAGATGCGGAACCACCTCCTGGGCCCCCACCTGGAGGCGGCTGCACCCCAACCGACGGCCACTGGGGCGGGCGGCACGCCCAGAAGAAGATCCACGTCGCGGGCGGCGGGTGGGCGGGGGCGGGAGCGACCACCCACTCGCCCGGCACCAACACCACCCGCGGGCCTCGCTCCGCCGCCACCGCCACCACTGCCACTGCGACTGCCATCAGCGCGAGACTGCCCGTCGGTGGCATCCTGGCACAGGTGCAGCCCGCGGGCGACTGTGGAGGAGCGTCTTCGCGGCGGTCGGCCCTGCCCGCCGCAGCCGCT